GGGGGGGGGTTCTAGTCAAGCAATACCCAAATTAGTGAAATAAATATCATTTGTACCCTTGAATTGGATTAGTCAATGGACAATATAGTCATTTATAAGTCAAATATATGATAATAATTGAAGGGAGTGGCTCCCATTATTACATATGTTACGACATTAAATGAGCCCACGTGAGGATGATAGGATAAGGCACATGAGGATGATATCAGTCAAATAGGCCTAGCCGAACTAATCAATTTGTTCAACAAGCAATGAAAGAGTTCGGTCCATGTCATGACCAAGCTGTTCAAGGTGTTCGATGAGTAACGAAAGAGCTCGATCCTCGTCATAACCGAGCTGTTTTGAAACAGTAAATGGAAAGATAAAGATTCGCCAAAAACTTAGGCGTCCAAGATAAGCTAATGAGCTTGATTATAGGCCAAGGGAACTGCCAGAGAGATTTCAGCAGCTTTTCAAACTGAATCGCTTAATTGAAGGAAGGTGTGCCACCTTGAACCTAACTGAACAGGGTCTATAAAAAGTAAAAGGAGCCAAGGTGAAAGGTACGCTAAACTCTCTTTGTGTATCTGCAATTCAATTAGATCCATTACTGACTTAAGCATTAGAGTGCCTTCAATCGAAGCACTTTGATCTTGGGCAGTTTGCTTGTTTTGCAGGAAGACAAGACTTAGAGATTGATGGTGTAAATCAATGTGGTGCAACTTTGTGATATTGAACAGATGAGATGAGTAGTATGTGACTATTAGGATACGAGCTGCAAGGCTCAAAAGAACAGGGATTGGTATCGAGGGGAAATTGAGGGATTGACACAATGAAAATATAGTGGTTCACCAGCTCGGGAGCTCGGCTAATCCACTCTTCAATGGAGGCTCTTGCTCCTTTTTTCTTTATAAATCATCTGAAAGGTTTACAAAACCGATTGTATGTTACTAGGGTCCCCACTCTTGGGGGCGTTATATCGTATTTATAGGGTTGTCCCAAGTTTTGCGGGATCTGCACCGAGATCCTTGCCATTTATTTGAGGAACTCTCCTTGATCTTAGGAGAGGATCTTGGCTGGTTAAGGATTTGGTGCATTGAATATGGCTCTTTGCCACATGTAAGCTTTCTGTTATCATCCAGCTGTTCCCTTATCATTTTCGTTGTTGTCACGTCTGGGGGGAGCTCTAACTTTGGTCCTCTAAGCTTTGCGTGTATTCCCTAGCCTCCTTGCCTGACCTCCATGCCTGAGCTCATACTTAGAAATTACTTTGAGTGTCATCAGTTGCCCCCCGTCCTTAGCCCAAGTGAACTTGGGTAGGGGCTGAGCTGAGGTTTAGTCTTTAAATCTGTGGCAAATATTTTGAAGAAGTTACCCCAAGCCTGACTAAGTTGAAAGACTCTGGTACTGGCAGTCTCCCTATGATTTCCTCCATTTGTTTAAGGTTTTTGTCTAAATTAATAAGAAGAAAGGGGATAATCGTCCCCATCATTCAAATTGGCTTGATTTTTGGTTCAAGGATGGTGCATGTGCTCCAGATCCTAATATAATGCAACTATGACAAATTGTGTTAAATGGGATGGAGAATTTTTTTCAAAGCGAAGATTGGTTAGATCTATTTAGGCAAAAGTACAACGTATGAAGATAAAGGTCAATGGTGATGATCCCTTCATTCTTCTAGATCTTGACCTTGATGTCACAACATGTGAAAACTTGGAGATTGCAACTTATTTAGCTTTATGGCTATGTCACTTCGTATTTCCTTCAGTGGATGACGTTATTCATCTAACCATCTTCAAGACTACCTCCCAAGTGGCTGCTAGAGTCACATATAGCTTGGTGACCCCAATTGTTGCAAGCATTTACAAAGGTCTATCTAAGACATGCAGCACCCGATATGACCAAAAGAACCTCGGGATGACTTCTTATGCTTTTTCAGGTCATTACTTTTATGCTTGGGCAACATTGCATTTCCCTCGGGGAGTTTATGTTGAGGTTGATGAGGAGCTTGATCGTCCTTTGCTTCGAAAATTCAGAGGTACACTGAATGCTTATCTTTTTTACGAAGAAAAAGAAAAAAGATTTCTAGATCTTCTGCACGGAAGTATGAGTTCTAGTGATTTTTGTTGGCAACCAGTTATGTATTCTAACCGAAGGCCTCATCATGATGATGGACAAAGATTAGATGAAACCTTTGAATTAGTGACAAGTATGTGAGGTGGACACATCATGTATCATCATCGGCTAGTTTGTATTCTTGAAATGTATAACCCACATCGCTTTGTAAGGTAGCATGGATTTCATCAAAGATTGTTGGGTACTCCCTCACACCCATTGATAATTTTGTTTGATGCCTCTTTTTTATATCGGGCATGGTTGAGTTTAACCAGGAGAAATAGTGGGGCAAGATTCCATGTCCTTAATAATTGTGCTCAGATTGAAAATCAATGTGACAGTAGTTACAACAACTAGTGGAAAGATGATATACTTCCAGACCTAGAAGACATCAATTGTAAAACCTTGTTAGCTAGTGAATCTAAGAATTTCAAATTCAAATCTCAAGTTGATGGGTTAGAGAAGAGAAAAGCCCTTCCTACAGTGCCCAAAGCTCCTCTACATCTTCGAAAATGGGATAATTCAAAGGATTTTTTGAATCCCCAAGAAGAATCAGTTCCAAAGATGTTGAAGGTCATAACACCAGTTTCAAGAGCAGCTAATGTTCGATCTGCTCATCCTTTAAACATCCAAGAGTCTGTTGAAGTGAGTTTGTCAAATGAATCTGATCNCTGAAATGAGTTTGTCAAATGAATCTGATCATGCACTTCTTTCATCCTGCATGTCCAAGGGTGATTTCAAGAAATAGGATATAGACTCAAATCGTGGAAGGATTCCAAGAACAATTGTATCAGTTGACAATCTTGGTTCTACTAAGCAGACAATTCAAGAGAGGTGTCAAACAAGAGTTAGAGAATTTGAACATAATTTGGCTTGTACCCTGTCAAAAGATGATGCAAATCATACCACTACAAAGACTCCCACAGGCAGGGTTGACCCATCTTATAATGCTTTGAATGACTTATCAACTTTTTTAGAATTATCCCTACGATCCTGCAATAAAGGTACTTGCAAAATTTCATTACTATTATCATTATTTTTTTGTNATAATGCTTTGAATGACTTATCAACTTTTTTAGAATTATCCCTACGATCCTGCAATAAAGGTACTTGCAAAATTTCATTACTATTATCATTATTTTTTTGTTTATATATATATATATATTTTCAAACCTCTTACTCTTCTTTTTTTTTTAATCTTTTCCTCCACTTCCAGATCTTGCCACATTAAATTCCATCACAGGTATTTGTTGAGACCAAAATCTTGACAATGATATCATTGGAGCTTTATTTGATGACATCGATTAGACCATATTCATTCTTTTCGGTAGTGGTGGGATTCTTTCTTTTGTTGATAGAGAAAATAACAATCCATGTGAACAAGAAGTTAATTCTAAAACAAACCTTTCATGTGCTATACAAGCAAGGCAATAAGCTATTAATAATTTGTTATGAATACTCCTCTTGAGCCTTATAGACCTGGTGAAATGCGATCCCAAAGACTAATGCCAATTTTTTCATCTGGCTCAGGTATATTTTATTAGCTTGATCTTGTTGTTATTTCGATTAGTATCCAACTAATCGCATATCTTTATTTATGTTAGGTGCTCCTGTTGAAGCAATTACTTTGGCAAAGACAATAATTCTGACCAGGATGCCCCTATATTTGAAGGGTGAATTTGATTACGCCACGAAAAATGGCTTCTCTGGATTGAAGACCTAGTGGATCTCCAAGACTTCAAGTAATAAAGATACTCTTAAAAAGCTTTTCTATGTTGACACATATCCTTTAGTGAGAAAGATGGATTCTCTTCTTATAAAAGTAAATCTTTGACCTTTCAAAATGCCAAGAAAGTGTCAAAGATTTAACCTCTAGAGAAAGAAATAGAAGGTTGGCGACAATTGATATCATGATATCAGTAGGACAATTCAAAGTTCTTGGCTTGAGTGATCAACTGTTGAAATCTGAAGCAGAGTTATTGAATCTTGATGATGAAATCCAGCAACTAAAAGATCGTAGAGCCGAGGTATCATCTAGCATTGACTTCATTCGTAATAAACGACAAAACACTGAAGAGACTATTGGGGTGATGGAGAAAGAACGTATCGAACTCCAGGAGTCTCATATTCACAATGTTGAGGAGATAAAATATGTAAACAAGATGCGATCCATGTTAGAGAAGGAATTTTCTTCAGTAGTCTCGATTGACTGCGTTGAGAAATTTTTATGATCTTATAACTTCTCAATTGTAATTCTATATATATATATTAGCAAATATGAATGTTTAGATTCAGAAATTTTTTTATGCTATTATTTATTGTACTAAAAAAAGGTTGGTTCTCAAATCAATTAGATATTTTGAAAAAGGTTTAATTTTAAACATAATTTTGAAGGGAATTTTTTTTTTCTTGAGTTGTTCAATGTTTTAGCTCATGCAGGCTAGGAAGCAAAAACTTCTTTTTTTTTGGTTAAGTAGTACACAATTTTAACTCTTGCGGGCCAAGAGTAAAAAGTTTTTTTTTTTTGGTTGAGCCATACACAGTTTTAACTCATGCGAGCCAAGAGTAATTTTTTTTTTCTTTTTTGGGTAAGTAAAAAAAGAAAATTTTATTAAGTCATACACAGTTTTAAGTCATGTGGGCCAAGAGTAAAAAGTTTTTTTTTTTTGGGGTGAAATAAAAAACTTTTTTTTTTAATGAAGTAAAATAAAGTTTTTTTTTTTTTTGGGGTTAAGCCGTACACAGTTTTAACTCATGCAGGCCAGGAGTAACATGCAGTTTAGGGTCGAGCGTAAAGCAGCGATGCTTGCTTTCAGGCGTAGAAGCACTTTAGAAATTTTTCATTGATTGGGTCAACCCTCCAACCATCTTTGTCAACAATCTTGTGCGCGCCGTTCGTGTAGACTTATTTCACCACTTATGGGTCATTCTATTTTGGCATGAATTTTCCACCGGTGCTATGTGGAATAACAATTGGTATTCGAATTGCAAGAACCAAATCTTCTATTTAGAATGATCAGACACAAACCTTCTTATTGAAGGCTTTGGAAATCTGGCTTGATAACATTCCAGGTTTTGTTGTGCATTAAGTCTCTTCTCTTCAAGTGTTTCAAGCTCATCTAAACGTAAATGAACATTTTCTTCTTGTAAGGCGATCCGCAGGGAGGGAATTTGACACTCCAAAGGAAGAACAACTTATGGCTAGAGAGCTTGTGTTAGAGTTCGGTATGTTGTTTGATATGCCCAGAGAGCTTCACCAACCCTTTCATTTCAATCCTTCTTTGATTTGGAGACAACTTTCTTCAACAAATTGCACAAGGTGTTATTGAAAGCTTCTACGAGTCCATTGGATGGTGGTGTACATGGATGAATTATGTTGTACAAACCCAATTTGATGCAGAGCTTGGCCATGAGGCTATTGACAAATAATTTTCCATTATTATTAATAATTTCATGAGGTACATCATACCAATATATAATATTTATCCGAATGAAGTCGACAACATTCTCTTTTTCACTTTTTTAAGAGGAACCACTTCTGCCCACTTGGAGAAATAATCGGTTGCTGCTAAGATGTAAAGATGTCCTACTAATGATTTTGGAGTCAAAGATGCTCCACATCAAGTCCCCATGCATAAAAAAGCCATGATGCGACTGTAGGATGCAACGGTTCAGGTGTTGGTGAATGAAGTTGGCATGGAACTGACAAGCTTGACATTTCTTAATGTAACTCATCAAGTCTTATACCATACTGGGCCAGTAATACCCCATTCTCTTTATGCGGAAATGTAATTTAGGCCCTATTGGTTTAGCACCACAGATTCCAAAATCAGCTTCCTTGAGTGCTTAAGCAGCTTCATCTTTGTCCAAACATCGCAGGAAAATAGCATCAAATGAACGATGATAGATGATGCCTTTATAATAAATAAATCGAGGAGCTCTTCATCGTATCTCAGTTCTATGATATGGGTCATTTGGTAATTTTTCATACTACAAATAATCAATTAGAGGTTGCCTCCAATCTTCATTTTCAACTTGCACTACTGAAATGGTAGTAACTTCCTCAATTGCAGGGAGTAACGAAGGTATTACCCATCTTTGACAAACTGGAACTAAAATTATTTGGTAATAGGGTTTTGTAAGCACGACGGCAAGATTGGCAAGAGCATTAGCATATCTGTTTTCACCGCATGGTACGTTTTCAATGGTGACTCAATCAAATTCAATAGTATGGCATCAAATCTGGTTTACAAACATCGTATAATTCCAAAACCTGATGAACCACCAGCTACGACTCTCCATAAATTTACAACTAAGAGAGCTGCATATCAAGTGTCATTTCTGAGCCAATGATCAAAGCTTAGTTCTCCGCTATGTTATTGGAGCAAAACTCAGTCAAGAAAATTGCGTAAGGCAATAATTCATCTTCAAGGGTAATAAAGACCACACCTACGCCAGCTCCATATCTTCGAGCATCAAAGTATAACTTTCAAGATGGTATGAAGTCAGTGAAGAAACCTTTTTCATCTAGCAATTCTTTTGGTAGCTCCCAATCTACAGAGATCGGGTGATTTGCACGGAAATTAGCTAATGCTTGTCCTTTGACTTCCTTTTGTGGAACATAAGCTTTGTAATGTGCAGATAATAGAAGTGGCCACTTTACCAACCTTTTCGAGAGAACTGGTCTTGACATAATGTACTTGACAAGATCAGATTTTGAAATGAGATGAACAACATGAGCTAGCATATAATGCCTCAACTTCTTTGCAGTGAAGACTAATGCAAGGCATATATTTTCAATAGGTGAGTAGTTTAGTTCTGCACCTACTAATGTATGACTTAGATAGCATAACGTGTTTCCCTTTCCCTTGTCATTAACTTGTGCTAAAAGTGCTCCTTAATGACCGTTGTTGGGTAGCAATATGTGGGCCAAGAGCAAAAACTTTTTTTTTTTGGCTAAGCCGTACACAATTTTAACTCATGCGGGCCAGGAGAAAAAAGTTTTTTTTTCTTTTTTTTTGGGTTAAGTAAAATTTTTTTTTTTTTAATGAAGCAAAAGAAAGTTTTTTTTTTGATTAAGCCATACACAGTTTTAACTCATGCAGGTCAGCAGTAACATGCAGTTTAGATTCGTGCATAAAGGAGCGATGCTTTCTTTCAGGCGTAGAAGTGCTGTAGAAATTTTTCATTGATTGGGCCAACACTCCAGCCACCTTTGTCAACAATCTTGTACGCGTCATTGGTGTAGACTTATTTCACCACTTATGGGCCATTCTATTTTGGCATAAATTTTCCACCTGTGCGATTTGGAATAACAATTGGTCTTCAAATTGCAAGGACCAAGTCTCCTATTTGTAACGATCAAACACGAACCTTCTTATTGAAGGCTTTGGAAATATGGCTTGATAACATTCCAGGTTTTGTTATACATTAAGTCTCTTCTCTTCAAGTGTTTCAAGCTCATCTAAACGTAAATGAACATTTTCTTCATTTGTGAGTTCTTCTTGTAAGGCGATCCGCAGGGAGGAAATTTGATGCTCCAAAGGAAGAACAACTTATGGCTAGAGAGCTTGTGTTAGAGTTCGGTATTTTGTTTGATATGCCCAGAGAGCTTCACCAACCCTTTCATTTCAATCCGTCTTTGATTTGGAGACAATTTTTTTCAACAAATTGCA